AAATTGATAGATTCTTAGAATGGCAGGCAGGTACAATTCAAAACCTTAAATACAAATCTGTAATTTGATTCCAATCTCACTCTCCGACTCTTCTGTTCAGGGTTTGGAAGAATAACTGCTAGAAGCCTCTGAAGACACTGTTTATAGTCTCTCTAAAGGTTGATATGAGAGAGGACTGGAGAGGATGATAGTATGCACTGTGCTCTAGCTGGTTCTTTTCTCTGCATCCTTCTGGGCTTGGGAGTCACAGCTCAAACCTTTCATTTTATTATATTCCAAACTGAACATGAAAGAATCTTTCTTTTTAAGGGTTTACAAGAATATCTAACAAAGACTAAACTCAGTCACAACTATCCACAAACATTTCCTTATGTTGGGATGTAATAATGCTGTTTCCTGTTTATATTTGATTTATAAATAGTGAAGTATATCTTACCTTCATTTCACTGATTTATTCCTTTTTGACAACGTCATGCTCAAGTTGCAGGTGACTTCATATAAAAGCCCCACTGGATTTACCACATGAAAAGGAAATGGTTTGTTGATTTAAAACAAACAAAGTCACATTTTCATCCTTAGCACAATAACTAAAAGTGTCCTTCTCCTTGAAACACTATCTTCTAAACCACATCTAAAGAAAAATGAATTATAGAATAAAAACTTCTACAGATGAGATTCAAAATATTTTCCTAGATGGATGGGAAAAAAAGGGTGGATTAGCAGTGACCTCCTGGCTCTCAGCTCCCAGAGAAGGTGAAGAATTTGGACAGCTATACACGAGTGCATCGCTCCCCGCCAAGAACAGTATTGTGAATCTGCAGAGAAATAGCATGGGACACGCAGTGTAGGAAAAAACAAAAAAAGATGAATGGGAGATATGATCACAAAGACTGGAGGGTGAGAGGTATACAATAGGGAATAGTGTGTGGGATGGCTGCACCCACCAGGACAGCCAGCGCAGTGTGATCTGACCCACAGGAGGATGCCCAGCTCCTCCACTGACCTCCACACCCACTCAGACAGAGATGCACCTAAAGTCTGTGCAAAGTCATGGCATGGTAGGACAGGCTCTGTGGAGAGGAGACAATAGCAGGAAACATTTTGAACTCCCTGGTGCTCTGTGCTGGGACTGCACTGGCCAGGGGAGGGACTGGTCTGACTGGTTACTTCCCTCCACGGTATGAGAGTTTGGAGACAGGCACCTCACCACTGGTGGTCAGCAGGACCAGAACAAAGGAGGTGAACGCTGAAAAGGAATTCTGCCCCTGGAAACCGCTGATGATTCATCTGGCTTGGGGAGGGACAGAAAGAGCAGGACACTCTCCTAGGCATACCTGAGACTGCGAGACTGTGATGCAGACGGGACAGCTGGTGGCCTGTTTATTCAGCCCGCCGAATGAGCATTTGCCAACTCCTGAGCAATTGCTCACAGCATTAGCTCTCCAGGGGTGGGCGGCAGCCATTTTTGGTGTCTACAGCCTAGAGACGCTGCTGCCTGCTGCAGTTTCAGGAAGCACCCCTCTCCCAGCCTGGGGACTTTCTCAATGGGTATGGTGGGCTCCACCCTGGGAGAAAAGCCAGTTTCTCTATGTGGGTGGTGTGAATCTGTGGGACTCTGTGGCTGAAAAATAGTTTGTGACCTGATGATTAGGCTAGCTGGGCCGGTGATGGCGGATGATCCTTGAGTGCTTTCCCCCAAAGCTAGTTCTCCATGGGTGGGTGGCCACCATCTGTGGGACCCACAGCCTGGAGCCACTGGGGAGTGTGGCAGTCCAAGGAAACACCCTTCCCCCAGCCTGGCAATTTTTGTGCCAGGCACGGCAGGCTCCACCCTTGGAGGTGGGGAGAAGGGAGAAAAGCCATTATCTCTGTGCAACTGGGGTGAATCTGTGGGGCTTTGGTGCTGAAAAATAGTTGGTGGCCTGTTGATTCTGCCCACTGGACCGGCTTAGGTCACCTAATAAGATCATAATTATAGGGCTTGCTCTTGGGTATCCAGGTGGCTGTCAGCATTGGAGTTTGTGGAAGAGGGAGGAAAAACCTAGCCAGAGATCTTAGCAATTCCACCACTTGACCCCTGCCATCAGAAGCAGCCTGCCAAGTGTGGTGAAAGAGCCCTAAATAACATATTAGTGGCTCCCCCTAGCGACATATGAAGCAAACATAGACGCACACACATCCAGGCTTGCAGGCACCAGCTGCTAACTATCTTGC